TTTTTTTTTTTTTTAATAAATATGTCTGTAATGAATTCAAGTACTTGCAAGAGAGCGACAGACCAGGAGAGAGAGGGTTAAAAGGTGTGAGGGAGCTGTAGACTCTGACGAGCAGTAATGATGTCTTAACACAAGATTATAAATCCTAAGTTGGCACTGCATCAGTTCCAGTTCACACTTCGCATACAGAAATGTTGTTACCCAACAATCCAGAACGTTATCATAACGTTACCATAACGTTTTTGGGTTGTATTAATGTAACGTTATAATAACGTGTTGAGCTTGCTGGGAAGAGACCTGTGATAAAAGCATGAAATTTTTATCACTTTGGATCAAAATACTGAAACTGTTAGTAGCATGTTTTTGGTATGACCTTTGTTCTGATATGGCGGCCAAAGGCTAACATCATCAAATGCAAGGACTTTATTTAATCTTTATTGACTCGTTGTAGTGCCTGGGAAGTGGAGTGCCACATAAAAAGAGGCACATTGCTATCACGGGATAAAAAAGTGACTCAGAAAATTCTCAGAAAAAAAAATCCCAAAAGTCCAACGTGCGAATCTTAAATTTTCGTCTGCTAATCTCTTAAAATTCGCATAAAGAATACTGGTTTATTTATTCCCAGATCAATACAGATACTTGTTTGCAATTAACGGTTGCCACCGGTACTTGTCGCATATTGTTGCGTCACGAAGCCCATCAGAGAAAGTCAAAACACACTAGAGTGATGGCTCCCATCTTCTATAAATGTATATCATTTCAAACATGTATAAACGAAAGCAATTCAATCATATTTTTATAAGATATGTTTTTTCTTACGTTATTTCTTTCTTATTTATCAAATCTCTGGTTGCGTTGTTGTTTTCTGTCTCTGACAAGAAAATATAGCGTGAAAGAGAAAACTATCCACTAGAACCCAGGCGGTCTTGCAGTGTTTGATCTTGACGGTTGAATATCGATCAGCGGCAGGCACACATTGCATCTCGCGTCCCTGGGCAAATTTAAGCTTCACCACCAGAGCTTATCTTTCAGATGACTCACTCTCTCTCTCTCTCTCTCTCTCTCTCCCCGGTGATGAAAGTTTCCTTTGCGTCAGCGGCAAAACGCAAATTATATATGTAGTCTGTACTGGGTGATGGTGAGGAGGAGGAGGATGAGGAAGAAATGAGGATGAGGATGGTGGAATGATGATGAGGAGGAAATGAGGAGGAGGAGAAGGAGTGAGATTGCATGAGACAACTCCCACTTTGCAAAACGAGGGTTGTGTGTGTAAAAAGCTTCTCAAAAAAGTATACCTCTTATCATCCATGACCCCTCACTCCTACCCAAGGATAAAAATAAAAATGAAACAAATAGAAAAGTAGACGAAATGGAAGATAAAAATGAAATATAAAATATATATACCAATTCTTAGTAAAGTATGAATCTGGGATCAGCGACACAAAAGCATTAAGTTATGGCTTATGTAAAAAAAAAAAAAAAAACAATGCCATTAAAAAACGATAACAAGATAGATATGCTGCAAGTTAATGTTCTGGGCACTAGACTGCTATCTTAAACAATCCCGGGAAATGCAGTTCGTCTCCCTCAAGATCTAAAAAAGGAGCATGGAAAGATTCAGCAAATAGATATTTTCTGTATAAGGGGCCCTTTATAAAAGTCCCGTTGAAAAATAGAAAGGAGCAAATGATGTTATGTAATTAAATTCCCCAAGACCCTGGTATATATACTTGCTCCAAATATGTACAGCGCATGTTAGCAGGTTCCAATGCACTGATACAGTGGTTATTGAAACCCTCTCCAGACTATCGAATCTCTTCCAACTATCAAACTCCTCAGCTTTGCTCAATTGTGCACTTTCTGTAGGCAGTATTTCCCTATTTTATAAAATGAAATCAAAGGACTGTTTATTGTACGATTATGTTTCAAAACAGTACCTTGTTTTTTTTAATTTATGGCAAAAATGCCAACCCAACTGATTCCACAAATAACAGTGTTGGTTTCATCAAATCCAGAGAACTGCTCCTTCACCGGGATGCATCATCAAGGTTCTGTATATATATCAAGCTTTAAACTGACTGGAAATGGTATTAACTATTAGCTGTATAAAACCTGTTGACAGTTCGTCACCATTGATCTCTAACTAAGGCGCATATACCATTGCAGCACCGACAGGAAGGAAAGATGGCAGCCAGCAATATTGTGTTAAAGTTTGCAGTCTTGGTAGCCCTGGTAGTGGAATATGGTAGGTAGTATAGCTCCTGTGCGTTTTACGATCACCGAATGGTCATGATCTTTTATTTTTCTGCAGTGTGGTGTCTGAAGGAGTGAAGAATGACATATCGGGGTAGTTTGCTCAGGCGGTGTTGAAAACGCCATGGGCAAGGCCAAGATGATGAACATATTGAATAATAATAATAATAATAATAATAATAATAATAATAATAATAATAATAATAATACAGACCACTAAAATTTAATACGGAAAAGGGATAAAGGTATGAAGAGCATATTGAGAGATGAAATAATAATAATAATAATAATAATAATAATAATAATAATAATAATAAACACAGACCACTAAAAGTTTAATAAAAAAGGGACACAGGTGTTTTAAAACGTTCGTTTCTGAATTTTGGTACACTGAAATTTGACTGGCAATGTCTTAGGTTTCACTGTGGTTTGCAGGTTAATATTGTACAGTGTAAGAGAAAAGCACCGAACGAGAGAGAAAGAAAGGATGGTAGAGTAATATGGAGAGATATCCATGGTTTCTGTTAATACCCAGATATAAGTTACACTAATTTCGGATTTTTTCAGCAAAGTGGCTCGTGAGAGAAGGGCAACAGTTACGCTAATTTTTTTCTATATTATTATTATTATTATTATTATTTTACAGAAAATATTGATAAAAGTCACAATCACTCTAAAAACCCTTTTGAATGAAAACCAACTAACTCGGTGCAATTATGTCGTGTATACACTGTATAAAGCTAATGCGTATAACGGTAAACAAAACTAGATTGAGCGTCAGTTGTAGCTTATTTTTACGATCTCGTGCCTAAAGATTAACCATCAGCGCTGAAGACTACACATGGAACCGGTTGTAGAAATACAATATTGTCTGCTGTGGATGCCGCGATCAATAAGCATTCTGAAGAAGCTGGTTATCTGCTATTAGTTCGGATTGAGCATCGAGCAAAGCTGCATGTAGATTTATCAATAACGCTCTGTGAACCGTGGTGGAAAATGAAAATAACATATATTGAACCTGTATTTAATTTCGTCGAACGCGTAAATTTGACACCATCATTACTACATTTTCCTAACTATCCTTAAACGGTAATCGGCATCAAAATGCCCATCATAGTTTTTGGTGGGGACAGAATGGAGATATTTTGTTCATGTAATCACACAACCCTCTGAATACAAATTAATAAATCAGAGTAGAAATTTTGAAATTTAAACAATCATCAGACTTGCATCAAGGTCTACGAATTTTTGCCGCACTGGTACAGTATGTTTTATTGTACTGTTATTCAGTTGATGTGTATAACGTTGTATGTGTAGTATATTACACAACTGCTTGGCAGAGAGCTGTTATTTTTACACTGTTACGTGTAAATATTTTCACCTGGTGGCTGTTGCCCCTGGCAGCCAGAAAAATGTCAAATCTGAAAAATATTTGTGAAAAGTGATAAACCGCATTTTCGCAAACAGAAGGTCGTAACAGCAGTGCTTTTTTATGCAGGCCAGTGGAATATACACGCAACCTTATGCGCATGAACAGCTGACTGGAGTACAATAGTGTGCAATAGTCTAAGGCCCCATTCAGAATAGGGGACTAACTAGTCCGAGGATCAAATATGGCGACCCACTACAAAGCTAGCCGTCTAATCCGCTAATAGACACTGAATAGACAACCCATACAAGGCAGTTATTGTTAAACTTAAATGAATTGCACCGTTTTTAGGGACTGGCAATTAAAAAAGCAGGTTCAGTTAAACATTTTGAGTTATGCGTATATGCATTTTACAGCTGTGAATTGAATAACAATAACGCGACTCTCCTTGTTTGTTTTTATTCAAATATGCATTTAGAAAATGCACTTGAACCACCCATGACATGTTAGGCGCCATATTGGACTCAACTCTATCCGATAATGCAGCGTATCTCAGCAACATGTAACTTGAATCTGGCACTATGAAGGGTGTCAAATTTTGGGTGTACGAACAGTATTTAAAGGCTTTTTTAAATTCCCAGTGCTACCAGAAATAAATGGAATTAGCTTTAAGGCAGTTAAAGGTCACAATGGAGGTAGAATTTGCGTTCGGATAACCTTATCATTACGATGTGCGTGTGTAACACTTTGAGTCATAGTGTTACCAGGAGTGGATCTGGGGGTGGGGGTGGGGGTGGGGGGGATGTCCAAGGTTATTGGAAATTGGTCAAAATTTTCCAAGAACATTTCTGCATGATACAACTAAGACTGGGAAAACAATATCCATCCACCTTTAACTGCATAAATCGCATGATGCTCTTCTCTGCTTGCTTGCTTTTTTTTTTTATAAAACTTTTTTTAAATGTTATACACAGCAATACAACATACGTCGGATATTCTTGGTGGCATGAAGCAGAGATGAAACAGTTGTTTACATAGGAAACTAACGATTATCCTGTGATTGAGTTTTATCACGCTTCATTATGATTTTCATTCCAGGAAGCGCCAGAGACTGCCGATTTTGCATGTTCCTCCACATGCGGTACAGCGGTATGCCTCAAATCGAGGGCATGGACTGGGATAGCATCCTTCCTTCATCTGTGCCAGGGATGAACGATACAGCTTGCTATGATGGCACCAGTACTGAAACGATGCCTTGCGGGGATAACCCTTGCACACTGACAGATCTGCAAGTGGATATTTCTGCCTCCACGCCGATTGGCCAAGATGTAAGTATAGGGCAGTTACTATAGACACCATTTTCCTAGCAACCAGTACAAATAAACATATTTTCCTATCAACCAATGCAAAAGGATGGTCTCAAATTGTTTTTTTTTTTTATGTACAGGTATGTTAATATCTATGTTAATTTATGTTGTCATATTAGCATCACTCTGAAGAAGCTGTGTAAGTACACAAGGCTCTTGATGCACATATCTTGTCTAAACTATACTCATTACGCCCGATGAGAACTTACGTGTGTAGCCTTGGTGCAACCCATGCTGATGTTGCTCAAAAATTCCTGAAGGGGAAGCTCGTTTTGGACAAGTTTCAAAGAACATTTGCCTTTTTTGATCGCCATTGACCATGGCCATGAGCAAAACAACGGGGTGATGAAAAATGAAGGTGGAATGTTTGGACTGACACCTGATGACGAAGCTCTTCTGCGATGGGCTGTAGCTGGGCCAGAACCCATTTGAGGAGTTTGAAGCATCCATTGTAGGAAAAAGAGAGAGTGGCAGCCAAACAAACTGCCATGAGCAAACTGATGCCACCCAGAGGATATTTGCCAAACAATTTAATTCACTGGTGAATATAATCGACGACAAGGGAAACCCATTTCAGGAGGAGAGTTTAGACATTGCCAGACCACAATTAATGGACATAATGGAAAAGGAATGAACTGAGTACCACACGTCCATACAAACAAATGGCAAAGGGCGGTATGCAACCTTCGTGAAGGAGCGTCTTCTGACAAATACAAAGCCAATAACAGCTACCATTACCAGAAACAACACAGTACCGTTCAACAAACAAGCACAACTCTCCTGTAAGGCGACTCAAAGGCCAGTTTTTTCCAAAGTGAATCTTCTCTCTGTTCAAGGTTACATGTATATGTTGCATGCCAGACAAGAAATGGTGACTTGGGCAGCTTTTTCAGCAATGAAAACCACCCAATTCCACTATTTCTATCTTTCTTTGGGCAGCTCCGTTTGCCACGGCAGAATTCTCACCTTATAGATTGCCTTGAGCAACACGTGAAGTTTTCATCTCCATGTAAGGCCAAGAACAGATGTAAGCATTATGGATGGTGCGTTACTCGCCAGCACAGCATTTCCACACCTGGCGGAGGCAAGATTTGGTGACGACACTGCAAAGGTGTTTGTTCCCTCAAATCAAAAGCCAACAAAATCAGGCTCAAAATGGAGACGTTGCATGAGACCGGTATTTCAACAACAGCCTAAAAGCAAGAACCAGAGAAAGGGCGGTCTGCAACCTTCATGAAGGAGAGGCCCAACACAACGAAGACGGGTGGAGTTGTCTTGCGCCATAACAAGGAACTGGAAACAGTTTCTTTGCGTGAACGACAACAAGACAGAGTTGTTGAAACTCCTTAACACAAATATAGCATGTGCAACTGTGCCCGCACTGTGCCCCTGCTCAACACATGGCCAACTTATCTCCCTAAAACCATTGGGAAGCAGATTCCAGAATCATGGTACATATTGCAGATGCCATCATGCTTGGCTTTAAGATCATTGTTCGAACAGTAGTTGTGTTTGCAGTAGTTGTTCTGCCACAGCAAGGAAGGGCCGACCTTTTGGTTGCATTTGGTATAAGCAAGAAAGCAAGAAGTTCCGCTTCATTCCTGCTCGTGAGATATGTGCATTACTTAGTTCACAGAAATCTTGGTACATATATGTCCAGTGTTTATACTTGCATAGGCTGCGACACCGTATCCCAGCTTGCCCATGCAAAGAAAACTGCATGGAAAGTTTGGGAAAACATGACGAATTCACTGCAACGTTCTACGAGTTGCACAATTCACATCAAAAAATATCTGAAGAAACAGAAGCTTCATTGGGGTATTTCTCTATACTCCTCCATGACAGCAACGTGTACCTCTATCAGAAGTTCGAAAGCTTCTAATCACACACAAAGACCGTCAGGTGTCATAATTTCATAATCGGTGTTTACTCTTTTAACTATTAAAATACTTTATATTTTGATTTGATTTTTTTTATTGCAATGTGTCTTCATTGTCATTATGACGTTTGCTCTTCCGATGACACGAAGGTATGGTACCATGCTATCCATGTACCTGCAAACTCGATTGGTGGCTACGTTTGAAATGTGCCTATTTTCCTTTCATTCCAGCAAACGGCCAGTTATTCGACGACCATGACAATGGTGATGCGCATGTGCGGACAGGCCGGAAGTACAGGGTGTACCCCTATCACCATGGACACCAAAGTGGGACCGCCCCAACCACCAAACAACGAACAGTCAACGCTCAGAGACCAGATATCCCAGATGGTGCAAAATGCGAACATGTCCATCACCCCCACGATCTCTGGACAGCAGTGCGCATGCGCTAACGGTGACGGCTGTAACAAGGAACCGTCCGCGATGTCCTTGGTGGAAATGACCACTACTAAAGCCCCGGTCACTACAACTGGACCCACAACGGGGGCAGGGTCGCTCCGAGCCGCCATCTACACCGTGCTGATCATTCCTTTTGTGGCTATGTTCTCTTAAACTAACGTTACATATTTCCATCTGACCTCCATGTGTATGTATATGTATATGTACTAGGGCTCTTTCACGAGTAGAATGCCGTGTAGCAGTAGTTTGCTTCTTTTTTTTCTATCCCAAACAAATTGAATAAGAGTAGGAGAGAGTTCATCTGTGGATTACACGTACACTGTATATGACTGACACTGTTGAGGACAAAGAAGCAAAAATAAGATCAATTAATTTGGGCATTGATGTTGATCGAAACTGCCCAATGGTGACAACAGGAATAAGAATTTTAGGACAGATGTCTTATAGGACCCTTTAGAATTATGGGCCAATTTCTGACAGGGTTCTATAGGACCCTTTAGGAAATTTCCGTTATTGCAAGCGCGCAATGTCTGCAGTGAAGATGTCGCCAAAGGTTTCAGGCAAACCGTACCTTAGAGATGGCACTGAACCCAACAACAGTGGAAACTGACTATGTGTTGTCGCTGGTATCAGTACTCACTATACAGAACGTTTTGTGAACAATACGGCAGTAGATATATATTATTGCATGTGCAAAACTGTTTTTAGCGTACAAAGTCGTGGTTCAACATGACGCCAGTACCGAATCCATATCACATATTGTATGGCCAGGTATGAATTTATTTCATCTCACCATAATATATACCTGACTCGGGTTGATCTTTGTACAATTTTTTTTCACTAAGGTATATTTACTGTGGGTGCACATCTGCAAAATTATGCACATATGCCTTTCCGTGTTGATAAGATCAAGTGATAAGTTCTTCTCTACAGGAAAATTAGACATTTTGCTGATGTTATAAAGGCGGAGGCAAAGACGTGCGCTGTTGACAAAAGATACTGGATTTGAAAAAAAAAACCCTATACATGAGGGAAATACAATATATGTGGAAGGCATGATCCGAATATGCAGTTTGCATTTGCGGTGACCTGGTACTTGGCTGATCAGAACCATGTTTTTATTGATGTGCTTAATGTTTTAGATGTACCTCCATATAACAATACTGTATCCGTGGCTCCACGAGTAGCATATCTAGGCAATTTGCGACAATACACGGAATATGTTCATGTTCACCTGTATGCACGCAAAGCGATAAAACAAACAACATTTGAAGCCTTAGCGTACATGTATGGTGACAATTACACAGTTTTGTATTTTTTCCACTGGCGTCTCTTTCGGTGTTTTGGATTATCTAATAAAACAGCTTTAAATCTGTTCTCAACTTATTTACTTGATTTTATATCAGCATTCATCGCAAAGCATAGATAAGTGTGAAACGATCGCAAAACCATCAACCGGCTTGTAACACTGTTTTCTGGTTTGGTATCCAGTTGGCACGGGAGCTGTGCGGCGACTTGAACGTGTTTCTAGAGAGATATCTACACTAGTACGCAGTTCTGAGATCAAGCCGGTGTCACACCACGGTGCATTAAGTGTCGGGAGACAGGACATAAATTCTGGCTTGATACCCATCCTAATACACCCGAAAGAACCCATTGGACATATAGTCCTATCTTGGGATAAATTTCAAACGCCTTCCTTGACACGTAGTTGCACAGTTAAAGGGACCTTGTGTGAGCTTTTTATTCTCGATTTTTTCTGTGTTTGTTTCTTTATTGAGGGTAACACTCTTTTAGATGACTCAAGTGGTATTTCTATGCACAATTTGCAATTTAAAAAGAAGTGAAAATGCAATGAATGTTCGCGCAAATTTGGCAAAGTGATAAAACCGTTACTACTCCCCAGGCTAGAAAATGTGCTAAGAATCCGCAAGAGGTGGAGAGAATTTCTCAGAGTGATCAGTAGTAGATGGGAGTGGCGTCATAGAAAGAAATGCAGAGGCGAAGCACAAAATATTGAGAATTAGCACTTGTGTGCAAGAGATGGATTCCATAAGACAAAAATTATATATAGAATTATGTCAGCTTTTTTCGTTTATTCGCCGCGCTCTCGCCTGTCTGCCAATTCTTTACATCTCACCCTCCTCCACATCCCACGAAATATCGCTCGACTATACGCTCACTTACGCCAATATACGCTATCTCTGATTATTCCCACTGGGATAAATAAGACAGTAAAAATAAAATACATAACGTGATCATGAACATCTGTACCCTAACAAAATCTATTCCCTATGAAATTGCAAGATTGGTCCCGGCGAGATGTGGCTGCAGTTCTTTTATACCCTGGATGGGCAGAGGCGGCTGAGTTTCCATTTAGTTCAATTTTACAAAGGTGTAGATAGCATACACTTAGTCATCCCACGAACCCATTACGTGAGGGGCTTTTAATCGTCCCTGTGGAGCCACCATTCAACGCTTTTAGAGAAATATTAATATGAGATTAAAGCTACTGTTCTGTTATGTATTTGTAGTCTTATTTTCACTACAATCCTCTAGGTGATCGGGCTTTAGTCATTACTCTTGGGTAATCATACACCGAGAAAAAAATTCCCAGGTCTCTTTTACTCTCAGTTGGCTATGCTTTTAAAATGACTAATGCTTAGTTACAAAAGAGAGGTAGTGCATTTGCGGTTAAAATGCCCTTATACTTTACATAAGCATGTTCAGTGCCTATGGCATTAATATGTTTTCGATTTTTAAGCAAGAACATCCAGACATTTAAGCATATTCAGCAAGACATGTTCATGTTTTTTTTTTTTCAATACGGCGAAAGCGAGGAAAGAATAATTTACTGGTGAAATGAAATTTACCAAAGAAAATACAATTTTAAAGTAATGACTGGTACATATTTTTTCAGGAACAAAAGAAGCAACCTGCTTTTGCCTGTCCTACTTTTTATGTGATCTTCATCAACAGAATCATCCACAGATAGGATAGCTACAAAAATGTAATTGAAAAAAAAAAAAACACGCTCCATTCATTAGACTGGTCTAATAGGCCCCAAGAAGCCACGCTGCTTTTACAGGTAGGTCAATGGGGGCACCGCTTATTTTTGTGTCAACAATTTGAGCTTAAACGTATTTAAAGTAAATAGTATTTTCATTGGTGTACATTGTATAGTTTGCGGGTGTTTCTGCAATCAAGAGTTTATTATCATTGACTTACATATTGCTGCTGTTTATCTAACTGAAGTAGGAAAGAAAATGACAAATAATGATAATAATAATAATAATAATAATCATCCTCATTTTAAAAAAATTAATTAAAACAAACAATGTAAAAATTAGAATGTTACTTGAGCACTCACTTAAAAAGTCATTAACAAAAGCCCTATTCATAGTTTTTATTAGAGAAGTTCCCTTGAGTTCCCTTCTGACAGTAGCTGGAGAGTCTTTCCTACGTTGTAAGAGAGTCAATAAATACCATTCCCCTCGGTACAGCGATTTAAAAAGAATTGTCACCTTACATGGTGTGAAAAGTAAATGGCCCAAAGAGCATAATTGGTGGGGGTGGGGGTGTTCGTAAAAATCAACAAATATCCAGTCGTGTGCTTAAAAGAGAGTTAGCATTAGAGTCAAGGCTATTTTTTTAAAAAAATGCGATAGTTGAGATGCGATAGTTGAGACAGCACAGTGCGGTTGTCTTATCCGTGCGATAAATGGAACATCCAATAAAATAGCATTTTACCTTGAAATAACAGTTTATTTCGGTATGGAAATCATTATATTACGTTGACACTACAAAGAACACTATAAGAGGGGATAGATGACCAAAGAAAGCCGGTTATAATTCCATATTCAATTAAATCTTTTACATAGGCCTATACAATCGTTTCACAATGGTTGCGCTTCAGTTTCTGATGGCAAGATGACATTGGTCTGACGTCATCCCGACTCCGTCTCATTTCACAATTTCGCATTAACTTTTAATGAAAATCTGTAGACGGGCGCAGCTCATCTATTTGTAACTTGGTAATCTTTATTGTTTAGACTAAGAACAGTAGGTGTAAAATGCTGTCATGATAAGGTGAATCAAAGGTTGGCAAATGCTCATGCAGGCAGATCGAGATCATTTAAGGAGTAAACAAATTCATAAAGAATAGGGGTAAAACTGTCAGTCCGCTGGCCTCGTGGATCGAGAATACCAGGCTCTAAATTTAAGTTTTTCCTTATGTAATATCAAAAATGTAAATGAATTCTTTTTAAAATACAGTTTTACTTGAAATTCTCTTCTAAACATCTAACCTTAAACTTACATTGTAGTTAGCAGTAACACAAGCCATAACAGTGACACAAGTAGTTCCAAATTAATTGCCCTATTAATCACAGTTGAAAATAGCAAGAATTAAAAAAAAAACACAGTCTCGGAATGCCTTCATTTACTTTGTATTCTTGATATTATTTTCAACTGCGCATATATTCAACTTAATTACCAAGTTGCATTGTATGAGTACTACACAAAACTCCCCACATTTACTTAAGCCACATTTTACCTACGTGCTATTCAACAATATGTATCCAATAACCAAGTTAACGAGCACAAAATAACCTTAATGATTTTCTACGGTATATCTATCAATTGAAACCATACTAGTTTAAGACTGTTGGCACTGAGACTAGAAAATGAGGTAAGAAAACAACCAGAACTACTCAGTATATATGTCGATAGATTCTGTTAGTTTTTATTCGTTGCCGTACTCGTCGCCTTAATTGTTTCTTATCCAACTCTTCTCCAAACCTCGCTTGATTTTACGCAAATTTGCAAAACTTGGGCAACCTTGGATTATTCCAATTCATATAATTTTTCTGACTGACAATATTTAGTCTATATTCAGACAGG